GGCTCCCGCCGCGCAGGTGAGGCTCCCGCCGCGCAGGTGAGGCTCCCGCCGCGCAGGTGGCTCCCGCCGCGCAGGTGAGGCTCCCGCCGCGCAGGTGGCTCCCGCGGCCGCAGGGCAGGCGCCGCGCACCCACCTACCCCCTCGGACAGCCGTCCGTCCTCCCTGCAGGAGGGCCGCTCTCCCGGCAGAGAGCCCGCCGCCTGCTTCCTCCTGCCCCGCGGCTACGCCACGCGTGCGGGAGGAGCTTTCTCAACCTTGGGCTGGGGCCCAGCGTTTGGTTCTCTGGCTACTCGCACCGTGTTGACAGAATAAACAGCGGGTTCAGGGCCACAGAAGGTGTACGCCGCACTCCTGCCCCTGGCATCACATCACATCTTGCACTCTGTGGCAAAGCAGTTTTTCCCACTAGCATTTTTTTAAGCTGGGAAAAAAAAAAGATTCTATTGTCTTGGGACCAGTAACAATAATAAAAAACACACAATTATTCCAATACACTGGAATTTGCACAAATTATATCTTGTAGTTAATTGCCTTATGAAGTTATTATAATACCTTATAATATATGAATACTTTATAAATATTAGGTATTATAATTTATGAACAGTTCCAATCTAGCTAGTAGACATTTGAAGTTTTACTGTGAGAGCACTCAAGAATAGTTTATTTCAAAATAGAGTTTACAGGACAGGGTATCTTTTATTAAATTTTCACATAAAAAGAAAAAAGTACACAGGGTACTAATTATAAGTAACACCACAATTAACTGGGTATCATCTCTCTAAAGAATAGGCAAGCAATGAATCATTTTAGTAACATTTTTTCCTGGTCTTTCACTTTCTGTATCCTTTTTTCTTGATTTCTGATCATTGAAGACATTGCTGAAAATGTTGATAAAACAAAGTTAGAATAGCAAAGATCACTCAGACTATCACTATTCTGTTATGTGCTTCTTAAAAGATCAGTTTGTTAGTAGAAAATAAGATACATTCTGTGCTTGAGAAGTTCTTAAAAATCGTGATGTAGCATATTTTTGAAAAAGTTGGTGTCATGGAACTGATCTAAGGGTAAATCTTTACTTGTTCAGTTGTTTTAAATGAGCATAATTATTATAAAAGTAATACATACTAATCGTAAATAATTCAAACACCTCAGTAGGGTACAAAAGCGATTAAGGTCCATCTTCATCTCTGTTCCCTCCATCTGCTGGAACCCCTCCCCACAGAGGTCATTATTATGAATATGAGCGGTTTGGAGAGTATTCTGCACACACACACATTTTCTTCTTCACACAAATAGAATATGTGGTATAAGTTGTTCTGTAGCTTGCTTTTTTTCATTTAACAAAGTGTCAACATCTTTTCAGTTCAGCTCATGTTTTGTTATGACTGCACAGTACTTCATTATATGAATGTACCAAAAATGTTAGTAAATAAATAAAAAAGGTTACTTTCTTATTTCTCAATGCTTTCTTATTAAACAATGCTATAGTAAATACTTTTGTATACAGACCTTTGTGTATTTGTACAATCATGTCTTGTAAAATAAATAGCCAGAAGTAGAATTTCTTGGTCAAAGGTATGTGCATTTTAAGTTTGGATAATGCTCCCCAAATCCTCTCTACACACATCTGTTCACAAACTTCTAGGCGATATCCCATACAGACATTGCACCCAATAAAAAGGTATTTTTAAATTTATTAGACAAATAACAACACATCTTCCATGTATGTTACATGGTGGCATAAATCAAAGAAACTCAGAAATATGTTAAAGTGTGAACAAAAATAGGGCCAATAAGATAATGCATCTTTCTTTAAAAAAGACTCACAATAAACTTGCAATCAAATTTTTTACTGATGTTTTCTATACACAGGGATCTAGGGTTATCAAAGGGATTTGGAACTTTATCTAACAACAATTTACTAACCTTAGTGTATTAAAAAATATGTGGATTTTGGAGGCAGAAACTGCAGGTATCAGATCCCAGCTCTACTCCGCATTGCGTGACTTAGAATTTATTGACTGTGCTCTTGGAAATGAGTTTCCTCATTTTCCAATGATGTACTAATACCACCCACTGGTCAGTGTTGTGAGGATCACATGAAAAAAAGGTAAGTGAAGTTCTGAGTATAGGGCCTGGCACATAGTTGGGAAGTGCTCAATAGATGCTAATAATAATAATAATTATTATTAAGGTTAAATTTAGTTTATAAATATTTGTCCAAGGGAAAATATTTATTTTCCTTCATCCAGCAATTTATATTCTCTAGGAATAAAAGATGGAATTAGAATAATAGATGTACTTCAAAATTAATTTCTCTCTGCCAAAGGCTCCTGGATTCACGGAGTCAGTCATGAAAGCACAGCACACGGCAGCCCCCACATGCACAGCACTTTAGATTCAGCGTTTTCAGAAGGGGCATATCTTTTCATTTTGTGACTCACTGGGTGACACAGTCTCTTACAATGCTATGCTAATTATTCCTGTCTAAGGCTAAATACCATTCTTTTGCTTTCTGGCTACTGACTGCAATCCTGTCTTGTTTGCAGACCTACTACGGACAAGAAAGACAGTGTGTGAGAAAGTCCCATGGGAACAACCACTCAAAACGTGTCCTCCTGGGGGCTGTCAGCAGGATATCATCCCCGCTAGATACCGGAAGAGCAGGGCCAGAGCAGCCGCCCCCAGGCACGCGGCTAACTCATCAACCCAGGGCTAGTCCTGGCCAAGACCTCATATTTGGACTAGGGTTTCTGAAGTGCTCATTTGATATCCTTTCAGTGGGTCTAGCAACAGGAGGCTTAACCTGCAGGGAAGGTGGGCATTCTTGTGAGTGAGAAAGACTTCTTCAAAAATGTACACTGTACCTTGGTTCTTCATCTGTAAATCTTCTACCAGAGTTTGCAAGCTTTCCAGTCTGTTCTGAAGCTTCCTGCATGTTTTTCCTGTTGTTTCTATTGGCGGAGACTGTGAATCTATTAGAAAATTGCTTAGATGTGACATTAAAAGTCTATTCAATATTTCTTTTTAGAAATCTTCCAATTATAGGCTATACAACTTTTCCTTTAAAATAAAGGAAACTTTTTTTCATGTGGGGGGTTTTACAGCAGACAAATTCTAAAACAGCTGTAACACTCAAACTTTATAACGCTATTTTAAACAGAGGAAAAAAATGTTTTTTCTAAACTTTGAAATACCAGCTTATATGATTTTGTTTCAAACCAATCAGACTTACTATTGTTTAACTACACAGTATGAGTGAGAAGACTACTTCGAGTTTAATAATACATTCTGAATTATAAATGACAGCATTTGACACCAAACCTGAGCAGTTCCACTCACTCAGGGTTTGGAGGAGCACAGGCCGACACAGATGCTGGCACCGTTTTGAGTGTGTGTGAGGCCAGTGCCCGGGCGGGTCGCTGCACTGGAATGAGGACGGCCTTTCACGAGGGGAGGGCCGCAGCGAGCCTACGACAGACGTGGCCGTGGCATGTGCACAGGGCCTGGAGGCACGCAGGCTGTTCTCTGAGAAGTAGGCTAAGTTTTGTCAACCTCTAAAAATGCCTGATTGTTAATCTGAAGATTTAAAATTTGATCTAGCCCCTGACTAGCTATATAATCTTGGGAATATTTTTGATTGTTCATTTTCCTATCAAAAACACCCTTTTCACTTACAGAAATCAGCATTAAAGGCAATTATCTAGACATTATTTTAGTTCAAGGGGATAATAAAGTTTCTTAGACAGATTTTCAATATAAATAACACAAAATATGTAATGTTGGATGAGACTCCGACAACAATGGGAAAACAACGAAAACGCCATGCCATTATGCAACACAATAAAGAAGTGACAAGTGGCACCGTTTTACTCCTGCAATAATCACAGCTCTCACAGATAAACACCACTTTAAATTTTTAAAAATACTAAATGAATAGCTTAGAAACATATGAGATGAAAGAGGATACAAGTGCAAGAAAGATAGTAAAAAACAAAATTTACTAACCTATGTGATCAGGCATTTTTTCAGGATCTAGAAATATGTAAGGCATAGTTGCCTTTATTAAAAGGATTTGTTCTGTAAAATTTGGATTCCATCAAAAGGCTGCAGTCAAGAATCCAGAAAGCCACATGTGGCCCCAGGGCCCCGGGTTCCCCACCCCTGAAAGGACTGAGAACTGACTTGCACGTTGGCTGATTGTATCCCGTGAAAGGGAATGGTGTCGTGGGCGCCGCGGCCAGGTGTGGTCATTACCGTACTTGAGGAGAAACGTTTCAAGCTCAATTCAACAAATACATATTTAACACCCACTTATTTACCAGGCCTTCTCTTATTCTAAATCAAACCATTTTCCCCATCTGTCTTAAATAACAAGTGAACTTAAAATTTTAAAAATGAGAAAATTTTGACAAATCTGTAGACACTTGCACTTACAGAGAATGAAGGAGAGCCACGATTTTAAAGAATGTCAATATGAAAGAAAAGTCACTCATATTTAAAAGATTCAAAACCTTATAATAGGCTGGGCACAGTGGCTCACGCCTGTAATCCTAGCACTCTGGGAGGTCGAGGCGGGTGGATTGCTTGAGGTCACAAGTTCAAAACCAGCCTGAGCAAGAGTGAGACCCCATCTCTACTATAAATAGAAAGAAATTAATTGGCCAACTAATATATACAGAAAAAATTAGCCGGGCATGGTGGTGCATGCCTGTAGTCCCAGCTACTCAGGAGGCTGAGGCAGGAGAATTGCTTGAGCCCAGAAGTTCAAGGTTGCTGTGAGCTAGGCTGACTCCACGGCACTCACTCTAGCCTGGGCAACAAAGTGAGACTCTGTCTCAAAAAAAAAAAAAAAATCCTTATAATAAAATAGAGGAGAAAATCTATCATTCATGTCAGAGAAAAATAGACATAATATTTACATATAATATTTATATATATTTACTAAGATTTACATGTGTATACACATAGCTGCTCTATTTAAATAAGACCCAATTAAGTTACACAGCATCAACTAGAGCTTGCATGCAAGAACAGCATGCGAAATCATATTAATTCTGAGTAAAAAGAACTTGCTGAAATTCAGCACAGTAAGAAATTAATCAATCCCACTGATGATATCAGATCATTCTTACCTTTGACGGACTCAGAGGAATGAACAGGTTTGGTGCACCTGTACTGCGGCGGGGAGCCTACCGACTCTTCGGCCGAGCTGGTGAGGAGTGAATGCACTGGAGACTTCTTAGGAGAAGAACTGAATGAACGGCAAGGTGAGTTTTTCACAGATGGATTTGCTAAAATTTTGCAACAAAAGTAAAAGTACAGAATTAATTAAAAATAATGTACCACACCTCTCAAAAAAGTCAAACTTCTATAAGAAAATGTTCCCAATGATAGGAGGGAAAGGTGATATTCTGGTAAATAGCCAAGATTTTGGCTAGAACTAAAAAGGGCTATCCACTGAAGGGCGCCATGCCTTAGGACTAAGGGTGAAAGGAAAAGACCTGCCCTTGTGGATCTGAGGTCTAGCTTCAAACCCTCTTAATTCCTGATGTCATTAAATTGATCTGGGTTGCTGGTGTCCTTAGTTGTCAACAAAAGCAAGCAACAATACTCTCTAGAGGAAGGTAACTCCATTCTAAGCCTCAAATCAACTGTACAACTTTTCAGATATAATGTGTCATACAATAAAAATAACCAGGTATGTGAGGAGACAAGATGATATGGTAGAAAACCGAGAGAAAAAAATACAGATAATAGAAACAGATCCATGGGGGTGCAGATAATGGGGACATCAGGCACAGACGTCCACAGATTCAAGCAGCATTACTCCAAATAGGTTCTTCTTATATTAAAAAAAAAGTCATACCTGTACATATCAATAAGAACTGCTAAAATAGGCCAGGTGCAGTGGCTCACGCCTATAATCCTAGCATCTGGGAGGCCGAGGAGGGCGGATTGCTCGAGTCAAGGTCAGGAGTTTGAAACCAGCCTGAGCAAGAGCGAGACCCCGTCTCTACTATAAATAGAAAGAAATTAATTGGCCAACTAATATATATAGAAAAAATCAGCCAGGCATGGTGGTGCGTGCCTGTAGTTCCAGCTACTCGGGAGGCTGAGGCAATAGGATCGCTTGAGCCCAGGAGTTTGAGGTTGCTGTGAGCTAGGCTGACACCACGACACTCACTCTAGCCTGGGCAACAAAGTGAGACTCTGTCTTGAAAAAAAAACAAAAAAACAAAAAAAGATTATAACAATCTTGAAGCTTCCAGAAGGGGGAAAAGGGGCAGATTACATTTAAATGAGCAACAACTAAACTTACAGTTGCTTTCTTAGTAGAAACAATGGAAGCCAGAAAACAAGGATATCTTCAAAGTGAAGGAAAAAAATGTCAACTTAGAATTCTATACTCAGAAAAAACATTCTTCAAAAATGAGCATGAAATAAACATTTCAGAAAAACAAAAACTGAGAGAATTTGTCACCAGCAGACTTACATTAAAGAAACACTAAATACAACCTATTGCAAATAAAAAAGAAAAAAACTAAAAATAAAAATAAAGAAACACTAAAGGCATAAGTGAAATGATACCAGTTATTAATGACACCAGAAAGTTAAGTATAAATATGTGGGTATATCTAAAAACTGTTAATATATATAATCCATTGTGGTAATTATATGTATAATTTCCATTGATAATTAAAACATGTAATAACAACTGTAAAAGTTGTAAGGACAGTGAATGGAGTTAACATGTTCTAGCGCACTTACAATGTATGAGAAAAGGTAAAAGCATTCATTTATATTAATCTAATAAGGTAAGGATATATGTTGTATTATCCTGGGTAATCATTAAAATAATAGTAAAAAACATGTAAATGAAGTAAACCTGAAAGAATTAACTTCATATAAATACTCTTTTCTTCAAAGTATTAGTTCCTAAAAGATTTCTCCTAAACCAAAGATTAAAAAATTAAGAATTTGCATTTATTGAAGAACATTGTGAACTTTTTATTTATTTATTTTAGAGATGGAGTCTCGCTCTGTCACCCAGGCTGGAGTAAAGTGATAGGGTCATAGGTCACTGTAGCCTCAAACCCCTGGGCTCAGGGGATTATCTTGCCGCAGCCTCCCAAGTGGCTGGGACTACAGGCGTGTGCCACTAGGCCTGGCCTTTTTTTCATTTTTTCAGAGATGAGGTCTTGCTATGTTGCTCAGGCTGGATAATTTTGATTATAGGTATACAATCATACATCACTTAGTAATGGGCTATGTTCTGAGAAATGAAGTGTCAGGCAATTTTGTTATTGTATGAACATCATGCAGTGTGTACTTACACAAATCTAAATGGGATAGCCTACCACACACCTAGGCTGCAAACGTGTACGGCACGGTACTGTACTGATACCGTAGGCAACTGTAACACGACGGTATCTGTGTGTCTAAACATAGAAAAGGCACTGTGCTGCAGTATGACATTGTGACAGCTACGCCATCGCTAGGCAACAGAAAGCTTTCAGCTCCATTACAATCTTATGGGACCACTGTCTTATTTGTGGTCCGTCATTGTCCGAAGGTGTATTAAGCAGCACATGACTGTATACTGATACTCTTCTATAAAAGAAGAAAAAATTCGGAAACATCTTTCTCCCAGCTCTTTTCATGTTGCCTTGATTCTTCTTATTTATATTATTTATTGTCCAGATTTATAACTACATTTTTGTTGAATAATCATCATTTTCAGTTTCATTCTCTCTCTTTGATTTTGTTCTCTTCCATTATGTGTCTGTTAGTTTGCCTTTGTCTTCCAAATCTAACATATTTTCTATAATTATTTTTTCTTCCTATTTTTAAAAATTCTTTTGGGGCTGGGCGCAGTGGCTCACGCCTGTAATCCTAGCACTCTGGGAGGCTGAGGTGGGCAGATTGCTCAAGGTCAGGAGTTCGAAACCAGCCTGAGCAAGAGCGAGACCCCATCTCTACTATAAATAGAAAGAAATTAATTGGCCAACTAATATATATAGAAAAAAATCAGCCAGGCATGGTGGTGCATGCCTGTAGTCCCGGCTACTTGGGAGGCTGAGGCAGTAGGATTGCTTGAGCCCAGGAGATTGAGGTTGCTGTGAGCTAGGCTGACACCACGGCACTCACTCTAGCCTGGGCAACAAAGCGAGACTCTGTCTCAAAAAAAAAAAAAAAGATTTTTTTCTGTGTAATTTTCTCTATGGCGATCATTTCAGTCATACCTATTTTATTTTTCATTCTAAAAGGCTTTTCCCTGTAATATTTTTATTTTTCCCTTCTAGTGCTAGTCTGGGTTATGCCAGTTTGTTTTTGAACAGATTCAGTTGTCTTTCAATCTCTTCCTTCAAGAGCTTGTTTTTATAGAGAGTATCTTGTCTATAATTCCTTAGAAATTACATGAAGAACCATATGTCTTGATTCCTCTCCTTTTCTTTCATCCATTCAATAAATACTTTTTGAACACCTGCTGTGTGCCAGGAAAGTTCTAGGTATCTGGAATCCATCAGGGAACCCAACAGTTAAACACATCTGCCCTTGTGCAATTTCTGTATCACAGGGGGTGACACACAGTGAACAACGTAAATTAGTAAGTTATATAATATGTGGGAAGATGATAAGTAAGGGGACTGGGAGTGTGGGAAGGTTGATTTTCAAATAAGGTGGTAGGAGTTAGGCTCACTGGGAAAGGGACATTTGAGCAAAGGCTTTAGAGCAGGCGGGGGGTTAGCAACTTGGAAGGAACCGTGGGCATAAACGCCCTGACACGAGGCTGTCTGGCATTTTCAAGGAATAGTTCAAGGATGGATGAAGCAGAAAGGGTGAAAAAGAGAAAAGCAGGAAATGAGGCCAGAGTGTTAATGGGGACTTTAGGCTGCCATAATGACTTTAACTTCAACTTTCACGAAAGGGGTGCCACTGCAGGGTTTTAAGCAGGCCTCATTTCTGTGCTTTTGTTGAAAACTCACCTGTAGGTGAGAATGTGAAGCAACTAGATGGATCTTCCAGGTCTCCTGCGTGTAGCGTGACTGGGTCTCTGGAAGCAAAAGAATGGTAATGCAAGCATCCATCCCACAAACACAGCCTAAGATTCACGGGCAGAAGCAAACCAACACAGGCAAATCTGACAGCTTAAAATCTTAATATAAAGTCAAGATGGCAATGATAACCCTGAACTGCAGATATCCTACAATAGAATATTTTAGGACGGAGATTCAAAGTTGTATTATCTTTTTGCTTTCAGTACCTATGAACATTTTGCAGAATGAAAATATAATAATAAATAATCTTGGTTAGAAAATTCATTTTTGTGCAATAATCGTTATAAAACCTAAAACACTTTTCTCATGGATTCTAAGAGATGTAATCTTAATGACTCACTGAGAAATGAAGAAACCAAAGAAAAAATAACAACAAAATCCTCTTAGCATTACTAGCATCAGTTTATAAAACTATAAGTCTTAATGAAATCAATGAGTTCAAGTAAACCACACAGTGCTCTGAGTTGGGTACCAGTAGGAGAATATTATGCCAGCAAGTTCTCAAGGTGGTTCCCTTTCAGGGGGCTTATCAAGTCAAAACTATTTTCATTATAATAATAAGATGCTATCTGGTTGTTAAGCCAGTCTTTCACAGTGTGCAGTGGAGCTCCCCAGAGGCTACGTGACACCTGATATCATACGATTAAATGCATAAACAGGTATGAGAATCCAGTTGTCTTTTATTAAGCCAGTCATTAAATTTTAAAAGAATGTCTTCTCAGTGATTGGGCTCCTTTCCAAGTAGCCCAGTGTGGGGGCACAGAGGCAGTGCACAGCAGTGGTCACAAGCTCAGGAGACAGCTAGACCTGAGTTCAAATCTGTGCTCCACTGTTCCCAAGCTGTATGACCTTGGCAGTTGCTTAAGCAATCTGAGCTTTCATCTCTAACCTATATATATAAGAAAACAATTTCTCCCTCATAGGTTATATTATTATGTTTCTTTTTTTTTCCACATGGATTGATGTTACCGGACCTTCAGAAGTATTATTTTTTTTGAGACAGGGTCTCACTCTGTTGCTCTGGCTAGAGTGTAGTGGCGTCATCATAGCTCACTGCAACCTCCAACCCGTGGGCTCAAGCAATTCTCCTGCCTCAGCCTCCCAAGTAGCTGGGACTAAGGCACTTGCCATGGCACCTGACTAATCTTTTCTATTTTGGTAGAGACAGGGTCTTGCTCTTGCTCAGGCTGGTCTCAAACTCCTGACCTCAAGCAATCTTCCCACCTTGGCATCCTAGAGTGCTAGGATTATAGGCATGAGCCACCACATCCAGATTATTTTTTGAGACAGGGTCTCACTCTGTTACCTGGGCTACAGTACAGTGGTGTCATCATGGCTCACTATAGCCTTGAATTCCTAGGCTCAATCAATTGATCCTGCCTCAGCCTCCTGAGTAGTGGGAACTATAGGCATGTACCACCATGCTCAGCTAATTTTCCTATTTTTTGTATAGATGGAGTCTTGCTATGTTGTCCAGGCTGGTCTCAAACTCCTGGTCTCAAATGATCCTCCCACTCTGGCATCTTAAAGTGCTGGGATTACAGGTGTGAACTACTGTGCCCTATCAGATTATATTAGACTAAATGAGATAAGTCTAAACAACCAGAAAACACTAAGAATAAAAATATCTAGTAGTGAATTATAGGTATAATAACAATAGGTACAATATAGTATTATACATCCAGATGAGAAGGAAATCAAAACACCATTTTTTCAGGCTAAGAGAAAGATCCAAAGTTGGTCCTCTCTATCTATGGGTTCAGCATTCAGGGATTCAACCAACTGCAAATCAAAAATATTCGAGAAAAAAAATGGATGGTTTCATCTGTACTGAACATGTACAGACTTTTTTGTCATTATTCCCTAAACAATACAGTATAACAACTATTTACATTATATTAGGTATTATAAGTAATACAGAGATGATTTAAGGTATACAGGAGGACATACATAGGTTATATGCAAATATTACACCATTTTATATAAGGGACTTGAGCACCATGGGTTTTGGTATCCACCGGAATACTGGAAGCAATCCCCGAAGGACACTGAGGGCCAGCTGTTTAGAAAGGCTCGCTTCAGGGGGCGCCGCCGCGAGGAGGCGCTGGCGCGGAGGCGCGCTCCGGCGGTCTGAGGCGGGCTGGCGGCCACGGGCTGGCGGCGCGATGACCTGGGCGGCCGCCCCCGGCTCGGGCTGTGAGGGGCTCGGGGCCGGGGTGGGCGGCGGCGGCGGCGGCGGGCAGCAGACGCTCCTCCTCGGCGGGCGGCGCGCGGCGCCATGAGGGCGCCGCCGCCGCCGCTGCTGCTTCTGCTGCGCTGCCGCCGCCCGCCGCGGCCTAGAGGCCGCGCCGCGGCCGCCGGCCCAGCGTGAGCCTCTACCTGAGCGAGGACGAGGTGAGCCGGCTGATCGGTCTTGATGCAGAACTTTATTATGTGAGAAACGACCTCATTAGTCACTGTGCTCTATCTTTTAACCTGTTAGTACCCAGTGAGACAAATTTCCTGCACTTCACTTGGCATGCAAAGTCCAAGGTTGAATATAAGCTAGGATTCCAAGTAGACCATTTTGTGGCTATGGACATGCCGCAGGTCAACATTTCTGTTCAGGGGGAGGTTCCACGCACTTTATCAGTGTTTCCGGTCGAGCTTTCCTGTACTGGCAAAGTAGATTCTGAAGTTATGATACTTATGCAGCTCAATTTGACAGTAAATTCTTCAAAAAATTTTACAGTCCTAAATTTTTTTTTTATTTTTGACAGAGTCTCGCCTTGTTGCACAGGCTAGAGTGAGTGCCGTGGCGTCAGCCTAGCTCACAGCAACCTCAAACTCCTGAGCTCAAGCAATCTCTGCCTCAGCCTCCCGAGTAGCTGGGACTACAGGCATGCACCACCACGCCGCTAATTTATATATATATTAGTTGGCCAATTAATTCTTCTCTATTTATAGTAGAGACGGTCTTGCTCTTGCTCAGGCTGGTTTCGAACTCCTGACCTCGAGCAATCCGCCCGCCTCGCCTCCCAGAGTGCTAGATTACAGGCTTGAGCCACCGCGCCCGGCCTCACAGTCCTAAATTTTAAGCGAAGGAAAATGTGCTACAAAAAACTTGAAGAAGTAAAAACTTCAGCTTTGGACAAAAACACTAGCAGAACTATTTATGATCCTGTACATGCAGCTCCAACCACTTCTACGCGTGTGTTTTATATCAGTGTAGGGGTTTGTTGTGCAGTTATATTTCTTGTAGCAGTAATATTAGCTGTTTTGCACCTTCATAGTATGAAAAGGATTGAACTGGATGACAGCATCAGTGCCAGCAGTAGTTCCCAAGGGCTGTCTCAGCCTTCCACCCAGACAACTCAGTATCTGAGAGCTGACACACCCAACAATGCAACTCCTACCTCCAGCTCCTCAGGTTACCCTACCTTGCGGATAGAGAAGAACGACCTGAGAAGTGTCACTCTTTTGGAGGCCAAAGCCAAGGTGAAGGATATAGCAATATCCAGGGAGAGGATAACTCTGAAAGATGTGCTCCAAGAAGGTACTTTGGGGCGTATTTTCCATGGGATTTTAGTAGATGAAAAAGATCCAAATAAAGAAAAACAAGCATTTGTAAAAACAGTTAAAGATCAAGCTTCTGAAATTCAGGTGACGATGATGCTCACTGAAAGTTGTAAGCTGCGAGGTCTTCATCACAGAAATCTTCTTCCTATTACTCATGTGTGTATAGAAGAAGGAGAAAAGCCCATGGTGATATTGCCTTACATGAATTGGGGGAATCTTAAATTGTTTTACGGCAGTACAAATTAGTAGAGGCCAATAATCCACAGGCAATTTCTCAGCAAGACCTGGTACACATGGCTATTCAGATTGCCTGTGGAATGAGCTACCTGGCCAGAAGGGAAGTCATCCACAAAGACCTGGCTGCTAGGAACTGTGTCATTGATGACACACTTCAAGTTAAGATCACAGATAATGCTCTCTCCAGAGACTTATTTCCCATGGACTATCACTGTTTGGGGGATAATGAAAATAGGCCCGTTCGGTGGATGGCTCTTGAAAGTCTGGTTAATAATGAGTTCTCCAGCGCTAGTGATGTGTGGGCCTTTGGAGTGACGCTGTGGGAGCTTATGACTCTGGGCCAGACACCCTATGTGGACATTGACCCCTTTGAAATGGCCGCGTACTTGAAAGACGGTTACCGAATAGCCCAGCCAATCAACTGTCCTGATGGACTATTTGCCATGATGGCCTGTTGCTGGGCCTTAGATCCAGAGGAGAGGCCCAAGTTTCAGCAGTCGGTACAGTGTCTTACAGAGTTCCATGCAGCCCTGGGAGCTTATGTCTGACTCTTCTCTCACAGTCCTTAGCATCAGGAGGAAGGTGCCTGTCGGGGCTCACCTGGAACCTGTCATGGACACTTCATATACATCACAATGCCAACAGAAGCACATTTGTCTTCCAGAACATCGTGCCTTAGGACTGCTTTAGAATCTGAACTTTTAAAGACAGACTTAATAATGTGGAATATTTTCTAGATACCACTTTTATTAGGTTGAACTGAAAGAGTTTTTGTAAATTTTTTGGCCAAAATTATTTTAAAACATAGTTACTTTGGACTAGGGGTGCATTCTTACAAAATAAATAAACAGGTTTTTTTAATTGTTTAGACACAGATATTTGGAATAGCTATCTTAGTGCCAACTGCTTTTTTATTTTTTTACTTCAAGGTAATGTAGGTGACTCACCTTTAAAGTTTTTTTAATATTATTTTTTATCACTACTCTTGGAAATGGTTTGTCTTCAAGATGCAATACTTTTCTTAAGAAAGGAAAACATCACAAAAAGGTGTCTGGTTTGCCTTGTACAAGAAAAGGCAATATCAGAGGAAGAAAACTTAAAAGCTAGAAGAAAAACACTGAAAGAATTTTTTTTAATACTTATTAGAAGCAAACTGCCCTTGCATGGGAAATTGTTTACTTTTTTAGTGAAAAGGACTTCTGCTTTCTTGTTTTGGGGGAAACAGAGCTGAGTTCATTATATCTTAAATTTGGCAGAAATCAGCCTTTCTGTGAGCCAGAAGGGGATTGGGGAAGATCCATAGTAAGCAATGGTGATTTTATTTATTTTTACTCTCTGGAAAAGGAGATAACACAATTCCAGAAAGTGAAATCCTGTCTCTAAGGTTAAGATTCCTTTTTATTGCACCTAAAATAGTGCTATGCACAGAGTGGGTGCTTGTGTTGTGGCTTAAAAAAAAATGTAAGCTGATAAATTTTGTGCTTATCTTCAAGGCTGGCTTAAGTATAAAATTGTTTTTTAAAACACTTGAACAATTAAAGGATTTGTTTTATATTAAAAAAAAAAGAAAGACTCAAGTTCTCTATATTTTGATCAAGTAGCAGAGACAGTAGACAATACTTACAATGCTACCTTAATTCATTCACTAAATACTTACTGCAGGCTACTGGGCAGCAGCATATGCTTGGTGCTGAAGACACAGCAATAAGCCCCTATCTACCAGATTTTAACAGTAGAATTTACTTTCATATTCTTAAAAAAAAAGAGGGCTCAGATATCTCTATTTTTATAGGTGGTGAAAACAGAAAAGATAAAAATAAATTTTTCCAGGTAGTCAGTCAATCAATAGCCCTTATGAGTACATGCAGCTTGAGAACAGGGCTCAGGCCTACCTTGCTGCTCATTATGTTCTAAGGGTCTAGCACAGTGCATGGCACATTAAGGACAATTAAAGATCTTTTGAATTAATGAATGAATAGTAGTAAGAGGGAAATTTTGAAAATTAGGGGCTGGTATGACAATTTCTTACCTACTAAGAGTTTCGCTTGATTTGCTGCCTTCAGTAGAGTCCCTTAATGAGTTATTGCTTCTGTTGGCAGAAGGATGGGAGAAATCAAAGTCTACACAATGTTATTTTCTTACCAATATAACAAAGGTTAGTGAGGGAAATTATTTTTGTTTTGTTTCTTTTTTAAAAATTTTATTCTGTAGGGTGGAACGGTATCAACTGTCAGCTAGATGAATACATCATAAATATTAACTAAATGATAAAACAAAACTGTTCCTTTGAACATTACCTGCAGATAGATGCAAATGCAAAAGCGTGAGATCGGGGCACTGGCTCCTATGGAGAAAAGCTTAAAGACAAAAAGCACTGCACTCCTGGGAAGCAGGAGTGGCCGGCGGTCAGCGCACAGCACTGGAGTACAAGGAGCCCGGAAACCAATCGGGAGTCCACGCGCCCGCCTGACGCACCGGCACTCCCGCAGCGCGCAGTGAGGGCTGCTGAAGGCTTTCAAGCTTCTTATAAGAATAACAAATTAATATTTGCCTTTTTATATTTTTTGGCTAAAGTCAATTTTTAGAAGTTATCTTTGATTTGATTTGGAAGTTATTTGAGGTTATGGGTTTTATTTCTTTATGCTCCTTTAATGATTGCACTTAAAAATTTAGCTATTCAATTATTGATGAAAATGGAATTGTTTTTAATAAGGTTTTGTATAATTTTAAACTAAGGTTATTATAATTTCCTTTTGGATCATGCTTTTCTCAAAAGTTATACAAGCCATTGTAAATATGTGTATATGTGTTACAGAAAAAATTCTTCCATTTTTGGTATGGCATACCATATGAAAATAGCTTCATATGGGTAAACATCAGAAAACTTTAAAATTAAAAAAATCTCTGTTGACTTCTAGAAAGTAAATTACTTTAGTATATTTCATTAAAATCCTTTTTAGAGTCAGTTAAACAATAGAACAGCTCTCCTTCAATGAACCCAATATGCCCATTAGGTGCTATATAAACTGTCCAAACAGATTTCCCAAATTACCAGGCCACATATAAAATTCTTAGACAATTAATATGATTCAGAATTTCCAATGCTTAGTGAAGGAGTAATTACTGAAAAAAAAAAAAAAAAAAAAAGAATTTCCAATGCTTTTTACCTCTGGCATATGTCTGATCTCAGGCTTGATTCAGTAATGCAATCTCTTACTCGATCATCTCTGTGTAGACAAAAAACTCTTAGTTAATTATATAAAGCACAATTTCTAGATTCCATGTCTTTTTAGAATAATCAATTGCTTACGTGTATTTTTTTTTTTTTTTTTTTGAGACAGAGTCTCACTCTGCTGCCTGGGCTAAAGTGTCGTGACATGTGCCTAGCTCGCAGCAACCTCAAACTCCTGGGCTCCAGCGATCCTCCTGCCTCAGCCTCCCGAGTAGCTGGGACTATAGCCGCACACCACCACACCTGGCTAATTTTTCTATTTTTAGTAGAGAGGGTCTTGCTCTCGCTCAGGCTGGTCTCACACTCCTGACCTCAAGCAATCCTCCTATCTTGGCCTCCCAGAGTGCTAGGATTACAGGCATGAGCCACTGTGCCTGGCCTAGAAGCTGTTTATATATAGGTATTATTTCAGAAAGTATTACTTTTAGATATTTGTCATATAATCAGAAAACAAATATTATAACAATAGATTATTATATTAATATATGTATATATATACCATAGTAAAATGCTTTAAGATAAACTAATCTGAATGACAACATACAATACAATTAAAAAGCACTATTTGAAAATAATATGAGAACCTCATTGATTTTTGCAGCTATGTGCAGAGAAGGGCTGGGGATCTGGCTGAATCCTTTCTGGATCTGACCTTTTATTAATCTGAGGTGAGTCAGTGGCATGAATACCTAGAGAACCAAGGTCTTTCGTATTAGCGTATCCCTGCAGTGTTATGTCATTCTCAGGGTTCCAGTTTTAGCTCCACCATTGAACTGTGTACCTACAGAAAAGTCAACCTTTTGAGATTTATAGTTTTCTCATTTATAAAACGAGATAAATAAATGCTACCCTGACTTGTCTCAAATGGTTAATGCGACATTTAAGTAAAAGTATGGATGCAAAATTTGTTAGGAGCTATAAATCACTCTACGGATGTAACTGTGGGTAACACCGAGCACTGACTACTCTCTGAACAGAATGACTATATTATTCTCTCTTGATGTCAGCTCTTCCATGTCCATGTTGCTTTCCCTGGCAACTGCAGATATTCTTTCCAGTTATTTACACCTCACCCTCCCAGAGAGTCACACATGACAACTCAATGGCAAGCCACCCATGAGATCCGCTTCCCCACTGTGGGCGCGCACGTGCCCGTCTTACACAGCCACACACAGGGCCCCCAGCGACGACGGCGCTCTCCCGTCCTCCTCCGCCTTGCCCAGGGGCACGGCCGGCTCCTCGTTGATCACGCTTCTCAACTCCTGCAGGAGCTGTTTCAAGTCCCGGGTGGGGTCTTCCTTCAGCGCGTTAGCTTTCATAGAGTGCTGAATTGAAACAATTTACAAAACAAAGACACTTTGTTTTTCAGATTCCTATGCTATTTCCTGTTACAGAATTAATTCAACTTGTACATAGAGATTATGGAAGAGCATATGGAAAAAATTCACCCATAATCTTACTACTACATTATTATAATCAATAATAATGAATCAATAATGAATAGCGTACTACATCTAATTGATATATATGTGGGTATACATTGTACATGTATGTACATTGTACATGTACATATACACACATACTTATATGAGATCAAACTAGGCACGTTTAATTTTAAACTTTTTTTATTTTAAAATTTTAACAATGTAGTATAAAATCTTAAAAGTAGTCAGAGAAAAAATTACCTCCAAAAGAGCAACGAGAAGATTTATAACTGACTTACCAGGAAAATAATGGAAAGCTGGAGACAGTGTTCTATAGTGAATTAATTCAGCCATTAGACAAATATTTATTGAATACCTACTATAAACTAGACACTGTTCTAGGTACTTGGCAAATGTCAGTGAACAAAACAACATGTATTACTTTTATCATGTAAAATTATATAATAAACATTTTTAAGAGAAGAAATTTATTGTATAAAGCATGTTTAACCATCTATTTAAAAAATTAATTTTTGCTGTTAGAATTATTATTTTTAAAAACTTAATACTTAAGTTAAAACTTAAGTTAATGACTGGTTCTTTTTCAATAAGAGTCTTTAAAATCAAGTATAGTCTGTATATTAAGCAGCTACATAAAATCTAATAGAGGCTCACTTTTGAGTAATGAAAAATCATGGAATTTCTGAGACAGTCTTTCTAGGTGACCCTGGGGATCATTTTGTCCAGACTACTCTTTAGAGATGAAGAGATCAAGGCACAACATATTTAACTGACTTGCTAAAGGTCACACAAGGAAGTTAAAGACACATCTGTAGTTCCAACGACTCCTGGTTGAATGTTATTTGTTGTTTATTTGATTGTGGGGTTATTTCTGGAAGAGGGGGTAATTTAATTTTTATCAGTGTGACATGTACATTTTTAAAAGTGAAATGGTTTTATAATACTTCAAACAAAAGTAGCAGTCTCCTGCCCTTCCTCTGCCCATTTCTGAATCTAGTCTCCAGAGAGAACCAGGTTCAACTTCCATCATTAATATTATTATTCCACTGTTTGACAGAATATTCTTTGTTGTGTGATAGCTTATTTTTAGCACAAGCAACTTAAGTGTATGGAGGAGTCCATTTCAACTTTTACTCATTTAAACAGTACACAGTTTTCATTTAAATGGTACAGGTGACATAACGAGTAGGTTACTGGTGATCCCACTGCCATATAAAAGATAGGACTTTTAGCTAATGAGATTGATTTTCATGTGTGATTTATGGAATAAGTCTCATTTCTTTATAGTTGAATACTGGTTGCAAGGAATTTGTGGTACCATAAATACATATTTTCAGAAAAGACAAAGGTTGAATTTTATTTTGCACATATAAAATAAACTTCTGAGCTTTACAAGTATAAAAGATTAAAGTAAAAGTTTTTCAAAGTTTCTAACATTTTAATTAAAGAGAACAAAAATGTTTTATGCTTAATAAAATCTCTGTGATTATAAATAAGTTCACAAAGGAACCACACATAGCAAATAATTTTCATCTTGGTAGAATATTAAATATACCATCAACTTGCCTGTGGCATTTGAAGTGATACTCACTTTAGTCATCTCAGCATTTGTTTTGTAAACTGGAAATGCTTGTAATGGAAATAACCAAAGAGTTGGATGTGAGACTATTAAATAATTTAACAATTATTGTTAACATTAATTCCATTGAATATTTCATTCTTTGTTTTCCCCAGAGAAAACACCAAATAGTAAAGAAAATATTTTCATTTAGCTGGACTCCATTGGATTTACAGGAAAATTTATAAATCTAAAATCTAGTCATTGAAAATGCCATAACTATAGATATATTAATTTTTAGTGCAATTCTTTCTAACTGAAAAGTAGTGACATAGTATGTCATTTGCATCACGGATCGTAAGACTGGTCACTCACATGAGACAGGAAGCTGGTTGTGGACTGGGAAGACGGCACGTTGGAATGAGAGCGGGTGACAGACGCCGGCTGGAGGAGGCGTGGCTTCACTGCCGGGTTGGAGGTGTACCCAGGGCCCTGGAGCTCCTGAGAGACAACACAGAGGTGAGCAAAATCAACGCCAGCCGGCAACTACAAAGAACTGTGAGATCAAAATGCATTTGATTTCACAGGCAAAATCCATTATTGGGACTTTAAAATATATATGTAACTTTAAAATAGACCTCTGAAAATAGGAATATATTTCAGTGGGAAATCTATTTTTAAAAGACATGTTTCTGTCACAGAGATTATATCACTTTTGCTATTCCCCAACCAACCAAACACCCTCACGCTTTGGGTTTTTGTATTCTCTGGACTCTGTGCGTGGCAAGCTCGTCCTCTGGGGGTGCCCAAGGCAGGTGCTTGTGAATTCACTTGTAAACTAAGAATAAAGCCTAGTGCTTCAATTTGTTACTATTTATGAAAAGAACAGGCATAGCATATAACAAAGTTTGTATAGATCCTATCGTGGCTAGTAATCAGATGATGCTGGAATATACCTGAATGTATCCAAGGTATATGAAGAAAATATATAAGCCCATCAAACAAAGGCATTATTTTTGCTTCAGCGACTATTTATGATGACCTTACTTTCACATCCAGAGTGTGCTGAAGTTTCAGGCGCACAGACTCTTGCTCCTGGCGCTGTATTATATCTTGACATTCTGCAAACTGCAAAGATGCCTATAATCAAGCAACCATAAGTGGTTTACCCTCCATTCTTCACACACTTGTACTTTACTAGCCTATGAAGGCAGAGCTGCCAGATCTTCAACTAAACTTCCCCCTTTCACCGCACTATCTCATGTTGCAATTATCTATTTATCTGTCTTATTCAGTAAACTGGGAGCAACTGGAGGCCCTGTCTCCATCCTCTGTACGGCTAGCACATACACAGGATTTAGTATGTGAGGGGCACTCGAAAGAATGAATGAATGAACTAAGTATGGAATGAGTAGTGTTAGCAAAGTATAAAAATTTATGCAAAAATAATCACAGCTGAAAGTCATTGAGTCAATATAGCATATTTTAAGAGTCAAAGGTAGCAGGGGTGGGATCACAAATTGCTTATCTAACCATGAAGGCTCTGATTTCTCAGCACTCAAGGGTTGGTTTTGGTACAGTTTTAGGTTCCAGAGTTTCTAGGTGACAAGAAGAGAGATTTCTCTCTCTATAATAAGTGGCAATGACAAATACAGTGTCATTGATCCTTCTCATTCTTTTAAGCTGTGTTTTCTACCTACATTTTCTGGACCCTACAAACTGCCAGACATTAGCTTTAATTTACCATTTATTGAGATTATTAAGAAACTATATTCTACCTAGAGCCCAAGTCATTTTTTAGTGGTAAGTTAGGTGCTAAAGAAGGCATTTTTACTTATTCAGGCCACTAAGGATAATAGGAGCATCTTATATCTTATAGCTTCCTGCTCCTGTGACTCTGTCAGTTTAAAAAAGATAACTTAGCAAAAGTATGCATTATGACTATGTTTTTAAAACTCAGAAGAGCCTTCTCTATATAATTTTCCTTTGTGCTAGGTGATTAGGATATAATGCAAATTGACAAGTTCAGTTTCTATCGACACAGAGCTTTTATTCAGACAATTCTATTTAGTTGATACCTATTTAGTTGATAATTATGTATGCAGTTAATAACTAACCTTATCCAGAGCAACCTCCATATTAGCAACCTTTTCCTTCAGGCGGCGTTCCTGAGACCTCAGGACTTCCAGCTCCCCGGCCATCTTGTTTTTCTCTGTTACAACAGTGCCCAATTCCTGGCTGAGTTTGTTCTTCTCTTCTTTCAGAAAATGTTTCTCCTACAATTACAGAGAAGAAAGTATCAGAAACAATCTGCTGATGCAGATGCTGAGAGGTAGCTGAAATATAATTAAAGGATCCTGAACCAGATAAGTTTAATCATATGCTATTTAACTGCTTCTGAGTTGGGGCCAGGAGCTACCAGAAGTATGTTATTATGCACTCTCTCCTATTTCCATCACTACTAGTAATATTACTTCTTTCTAGGTTTAATAAATCTTTGATGAAACCTACAAAATATGAAATAACTATATTGTAATAAAAAGACAGTATTTTGGTGAGTTGGGATTGAGTAATCATATACCAAATTTTACTGAAATTTATTCCAGATGACAAGAGAGATTTAAAGAAGATGCATTATTTGAAATTTTTGTGGATTTCAATTTGGCTTCAAGGTTGAATATCCGTTTCACACATACCTTCAGTAGACCCTGTGACGTAAGAGCAAGGGAGACACGTCCTGCCCTCAAGTCACATCACCAGCCCGGGCCGAGAGTGAGCTCACCGGCATGTCAGTGTCTCTTTAGTATTTAACAGAATTTCATTACAATTAATTCATTCCTTTAAGAAAAACACCATGGACTAGGTATACAGAAATAATAAATGTATAGTTGTCAAGTTAAAATATAGACATCAGTTGGTTGAGTTTGTATTTCCTGTTTGTATTTGGGTTTTTTTGTTTGTTTTAGAGGCAGGGTCTCACTTGTGGCTTAGGTTGGAGTACAATGCCATGATCATAACTCATTCTAGCCTTGAATTCCCGGGCTCAAAGGATCCTCCTGCCTCAGCCTCCTGAGTAGCTGGGACTACAGGTGTACACCACCATGCCCAACTAATTAAAAAAAACTTTTTTAAGAGACTGGTTCTCGATATGTTGCCCAGGCTGGTCTCAAATTGTTGGCCTCAAGTGATGCTCCTACCTCAGCCTCCCAAGTAGCTGGGATTATAGGCACAAGCCACCACATCTGGCTATCTTTTAAAAAGTATATTGTTTTAATAGTGAAAAATGTTTAATGTAAATAAGGTAGAAGGTGTTGCTACTGTAATACACATTTTGTAGGGACATAATTCTTCCTTTTCTAATTAGGTTGGGCAGAAAAGGCTTCAGAAAGAAAGAGGCATTAATTTTATAGGGTTCCTCCATTTCATTTGGAGGAAATGTCATTCAACTATGGGAACACTCTCCTTTAGGTGGGGGCAGGCTTTTTTGCTGCTAGCAGGCGTAGACTCTTAAGCATTAAGAACCATCAGGGAAGATACACACTGCTTTAGGTTCCCAAAGGCAAGTCACAGAAGGAGAAAGGGAAAAAAATGAATTGAGGACAAGAGAAAAGGAGAGAGAAAAAAATGCAGAACACAGAAAGGAAATAAGTAAGTCTATATGATGAAGGGTGTGCACAAAAGTATATACATACTTGTTAATACTGAGTTGCATTCCAAAGTTTTTAGTAGCTCATCATGGATAGTAAACTAGCAATTACTTCATTGCACTTATTTTCTACTTAGGCTATCTACTGCCTCACCTACATCATTATCAGTCCTGTTATAAATCTTCTTTTGAAAACATACATTTGTTCCAAAGTGGTATCAGGGAACAGCTGAGCTTAAGGCAAATGTCATGGTTGCTATGCGCAGTTTCATTCATGACATGCTGGTCAATGCAGAACACTGCACTTAGCCCAACAGCTGCATGGGAATACACAAGCACACCTGCATACTCCTCAAACACCCACCTACCAGCTACCTCGTGTTACGAGCCACATGCATCCACATTTGGTGTTACAGGAAAGCCTACGTCCACCCCTTCATGATAATATACAAGCTGTAACCCTTGACGCATACTTCTACAAGAAAACTTCAGGTCTTTTTCAAGGTAAATGGCCTTACTTATTGTGGTATTTGTGCATTTCATACCAATTTAACAGTGGTAAGACTGTGCTACTGTTTTTATTAGGTTCTTGTTTTTTATGTGTTCTCATATGCCCTGTGGTTTTTATTACACAGTTTTGTACAGCATAGCGATTTTTAGAAACACATATATCACATTATAATGGAACTCACTGTCCTTTGTTTGGATTCATTCTCTGCCTCTACCAAGAATATCCTTTTGCCTACTTCCCACATTTAAAATATTAGCTTTCAAGACCCTGCTCAGATGTTTCTTCAAGATCTTTTCCCTCATTCTAATCTCAGTCAAAAATAAGCTTTTCTCTTTTCCCCCTGCACTTTGAATCTCTGTCATGTCTTATCCTGCCTTGAAGTATATCAGTGAATGAACATGCTGGCTTCCCCTCTCTGGGAACAGGGACTCACCTTATTTGCGTTTGTCATTGCCTCCTCCAAAAACTGAATCTTGCTCTGCAGGGCGTCTATCTGGCCTCTTTTGGCTGTGATCTGCTTCTGCATCCCCATTGCCACCTTCATAGCTGGGGGAGAAAAGGAGGCAAACTGTGCCTTAGTTTCTAAAGTTTCTAACGTTTGAGAGGCTACTGTAATTTGATGGTTAAACTGTATGAGAAGCTGACAAGTAAGATCCTCCAAGGTACCTGGGCAGTTGTAAGGAAAGATCACAGACAAGTCTTCACTTTTCATAATTTTGGGATGTAATAATTTTTAGCTACTATTAGAGATTTCGAGCTGGGAAATATACATATGATGATGATTTGTGGGGATTTTTTTTGCTACTGAGATTAATTTCATTGGCCATTGTAAGTTGCCATATTTCCACTGGCAACTTACAAACTCACACATATAGGAAAAATATATATATACACAAATATATAGTCATATAATGAATAATGTATATTATTAAAATGATTTTTCCAGAAACTCATACTTAAAATACTACTATATATACTATATGTTTTTTAAGATTCCAGTGATATCACAAACCATTCCATTTTCATTCTCATGGTTAATGTCATGTGCCTGGAACTCACTACTGTCTCATTTGTCAAGCTGCCAGCATAAGCATGTATGTGATTATGTTTGGAAAACTGATGACGACAGGATGAGAATGTTCTAGATGGTCAAAGGCAATACTTAAGAAATGGCAGGGCATTGAAAGGATATATGAAGCTCATGTTTACTTGGAAATTCAAAGTCAGAAGACCGTGTGTTTTTTCTTATAGTCAGCTGAGGAAAGAGGCTTGAAAATGCCACTGTTTTTGAGTCTCAGGTCTGGTTGTAGCTTACAGTTTAAAAATAAAAAATAAAATGTACTATTAAAAACAAACTATCAGAATGAAAGGTATGACTTGTCACTAACAAGAGTTCTTATACCTAAACTGTCAAAAATAGGGTTAACACAGACACAATACATTGATTTATTAATAGATCAAAAGTCTAACATCATCAAAGAGAAGAAGACATTCTATTATAAAGACACCTGCCCCCGAATGTTTATGGCAGCACAATTCACTATTGCAAGGACATGGAAACAACCCAAGTGCCTGTCAATTCATGAGTGGATAATCAAAATTTGGTGTATGTTCACAATGGAATATTACTCAATTCTAAGAAATGACAGCGAGCTAGCACCGCTTATACTATCCTGGATTAAGCTTAAGCCCATTATCCAAAATGAGGCGACACAAGCTCAGGGCTCCACACCTACTCGCTCCACACCTACTCGCCATCAAATTGGTACTGACTGATTAACACTATGGTGCCCAAATGGTGGTGTTGTTCACCAGGGATTGGGGGGCAGTAGACCCACATCTTAGGGATGTGGTGATCATTGTGGAGGGGAAGGACATACCTCTAACCCTTCTTAGGGAGAGGCAAAGATATAAAATGTAACCAAAATGTCAAAAAAAAACCCCAAAACCTTTTATCGGGTGTGGGCAGGTGGGAGGGGAGGAGGGTGGGTGCACACCTGCATGAGTTGCCCCGGGCCAGGAGGGCAGACGCGCTTGAAGCCCTGACTCAGCGGGGGTGGGGAGGTGGCGAGGGCAACATATGTAACCTTAACTGTATTTGTACCCCCATAATATGATGAAATAAAAAGAATGTTTAAACAAAGTCTAACATCATTTGCTCAACACTTTAAAGAATTCTAGTCTAAGTGGATCATGGCTGGCCTTCAGAGGTAATTTTCTCAAATATATCTCTTTCATTTTAAACTGATTTTATTCAATAAAAACAAGAATTTGAGAGCTTGTTTGGAGGTTCTAGCAGGGGAGGGCAGCTATTCGTCTACGCTTGACTGAAGAATGGTCCTCCTCTACCGGGAAGGCCGTCCTCTCCACCCAGCTCACAGCTTCCGGAGGGCGCACAAGGAGCGGTGAGGGAGGAAGGGCACACTCGCCTAGCCAGCCAGACCGCCAATCAACCCTGGCCATCAGGGCCGTGACAGATATCACCCTCATATCCCAAAACAAGAATTTGAATGGGAATACAAGGATTCTCTAGGTAACCTGATAGTTGAGACACCCCTGGCTGGGGTGGTAGTGGACATGCCTACAGGGCGTTGAGACAGGGATGCCATCTGGGGGTGGGGGCAACCCACAGACCCCAAAGCGGCTTCTTTTTTTAGACAGAGTCTCACTTTGTTGCCCAGGCTAGAGTGAGCGCTGTGGCATCAGCTTAGCTCACAGCAACCTCAAACTCCTAACCTCAAGCGATCCTCCTGCCTCAGCCTCCTGAGTAGCTGGGACTACAGGCATGCGCCACCATGCCCGGCTAATTTTTTGTATATATATTTTTAGTTGGTCAATTAATTTCTTTCTATTTTTAGTAGAGACGGGCTCTGACTCTTGCTCAGGCTGGTTTCGAACTCCTGACCTTGAATAATCCTCCCATCTCGGCCTCCCAGAGCCAAAGTGGCTTCTTAAGTGATCTCCCCAAACCCCAACGTTTCCTCAGTGTCAGCCAGCAAAGGGCCAAACCACCAAGGACCAACAAAACATAGAAGGCGGTCCTTGCCTGCGAGAGTGGCCACTGTGTTGGTGCTCTGGGGCTTGGACCCTTTAAAAAAAAACAACAAAAAAAAACAAAAACAAACAAACAAAAAAAACATGGAAGGCTCCAAGGATCTGCCTGTCATCCTTGTGCAGGGACTACAGTGACCTTCTTTATATCATTCCAATTTTAGTCTATGTGCTGCCAAAGCGAGCATAAAGATAAATCTTCTCACATCAAAAAAATATTGAGAAATGGAAAAATGTACACTTTAATTAGATAAATATTAACCTTATAGTCAGCTAATACAGTCATGCCAACAATGATATGAATAACATGAAACAACAGATAAACTTCCTCTCTGTGTTAGTACGGACAGAAGGTAAAAAGGGGACAGGTCTAGGTGGCGAGAAGGGACCCTTCACCTACTAGTTCAATTTCCAGGGTTCCTTTGCATTTTTGTCACAGAGAAGGAATCAAGAACTGCCAATTAGCCAGAGATTGATAGTTTATATAGATAATGCACATGTTGAAAAATAAGGAGTTGAATGAAAATTGGTAATTTTTATTTATAGCCTTAAAAATAATTGACATTTATAGACATTGAGATCTGTTAGAAATTATTGAAATAGCTAAAGGATAAAGGGAAGATTCAGATACTTTAGGGATTAAATTAAGCACATGGTAATTTCCCTAAAAAACTGAATTACTGCTACATGACACCCATCATCAATACCTATTACTGTATATTTCTCACATCACCTGGCACTGTAAGAGGTGTAGGCAATGTATTAGGGTTTGTGTTTTAATAAATCTAGACCAATGGAATAAAAACAAGAGGAAAATTTTAAAATCTAACAGAACATACCATGACCATCAGATCCTTCCATTGACTTTAACGTGTTCCTTGTTTGTTCTAGTTCAGATTGTGCAGATTTTAATTGCATTTTCAGCTTATTTGTAGTAGTTTCCATTTCTTCAGTTTTGTTTCGAAAATTCCTTTTTAAGACTTCATAGTCCTCTATACAATATGATAATTTATAATAGATGATTATTTTTTTCTATCCCAGTATTACAAAGTATATTTTATTTGCAATTAATAATCACAGAATTTTAGAGCTAGAAGAAAACTTATTTAGTTATATCTTCATTTGTTACAAAAATTAGATGTACGTACACAATTCATCTATCTGACTCTTTAATCTATTTGGGTAGATCCTCCTCCTTTACCTACTTATTACACATTGTTTTTTCCCCAACTATTGTAATTAGATCATATCTATTTCATATTGAACTTTCTTCTTGGATGAACACATACATTATAGCAGATTTAACCACCATCTGTAGGTAGGTGAATCTCTTTGACACTGTGAGTAACCTGAGGTGCCACGTGTCTTATCTGACTTTATATCTCCATTACCTATCAAAATACCTGGCAAAGACTCATCATTCGATATATTAGAAAACATACACACAACGTCCATCTATATATTTATATTTCTCTATTGATATATGATTAGATTTGCATATAAAAGGAACAAAGATTCAGCTCCATCGATCCAGACATTTCCATGTCGGCATATGTCCTGACACCACCTGAAACCGACTGCCTCACGCTGACCACACCTCACCCTCCTGTTCTCAAGCTGACCGCTCCGCTGGTCCCCTCCTAGCTGCTGCTATCATTACCCTCCCAGCACTACAAGCTAAAACCTGAAACCTATGCTTAACCCCTCCAATCACCAAGTCCTGCTGATTCAACCTCCAAAAACACCTCTCCTTTGCTTCTCACTGCCACTGCCTTAGTTCAAGTCCTCATCATATTTTCCTGGGACTACTGCAAAAACCTCCGTAAATGGTTGGTCTCTGTCTCTTTAGACTTGCCTTCCTCTAATTTATCTGCTAATACAATCCTTCCAAAATCTGATGACAACGACCTACTATTTAATACCCTTCACTGGCTCCACATTGTCTAGCTCTACCTACCTGCTACCTCATTCCTTTGTACTTCTGCTCCAGCCAATGCTTCTGAGGTCAATCATGTTATTTCATGCCTTCATGCTCACCTGGTATTTGAGCATGAAGGCATGAATAACATGACTGACCATAGTGCTCTCTCTGTCTAGAATGTCCTTCTACCTCTTTTTCACCTGCCAAACTCCTTTCTCTCCAACCCAGTGTAGATGTCACTTCCTAACAGGGGCGGATTCTCTGTCCTCTGTGCTGTCTTTGAACCCGATGCACTTCCACTGTAGCTCCCTCACTGGCCCGCCACCCATTTCTGTGTAGGTCTGTTTCCCTACCGGGCTGTGAGCTTCATGTGGGGTTTCTAGGACCATCACAGTGTCTGGCACAATAAATGCTCAGTAATTACCGACCGTGTGCGTGTGACGTATGTGACACTGGCCCATACCAGCCATAAACTGGAGTGTTTCAATGTTTAATGTAAGGCCTTGGATCTTTCCTTTTAGTAAATTTGCATAAGTCTGTTTACATGTCATTTCACTATCAGACCTCTTATCAAGCTATTTGACTCAAAGGACTCAAGGTTTACACTTCCATGGAAACAGAACTGTGCAGACAGCATGACTGATTGATGCTGAACACCTGCTGTCCTTCTGGGAGCCTGGAATCTGGACACCTCACCCTTCTCTTAGAGACTCCGTACAGGATTTTCTTGAGTCTAAGGTTGACTAAAGTTATGGTTAGTGAGTGTAAGATGTGGTGGCTCTTTCTGGAGAACCATGAGGATTTCAGGCCATCAGTGATTCCACAGGGGCAGCATAACTATCCACATTTATAATGTGGGATGAGACGCCTTTCTCTTGCCATCATGCTGGGGTCTACGTCGGACTTCACTGACAAGTACTCCCACTTTTAGTAGGATTTGCACTGAAGAACATACCTGAAAGACCGTTTAACTCATTCCTGCTAGTTTTCACCTCATTTAACAACTGGTCTCTTTCTTGTTTGATGTCCTTCACGGCACGGAGCCGCTCGGAGCCCGCGTTCACCAGCTTCACCTTTTCCAGCTCCAGGTCGCTCACTCTGGCCTCAAGCTCCCGGATCTTCGCATCTTTTTTATCTTTCAAAATCTAAATGTATGGATAAATGCAGAGGATAGGGATAGAAATAAAAAATATGCACATGTATAGCCACAAATGACATCACATTAGTGTTCTATCTGTACTTAGTATCTTTTAATTATTTATCAGGACATTAAACTTATATTTTATTACAAAGAATCAATAGTAAGTGCGAAACAAAAAGAATAGTTACCTTTCTTTTAACCTTAGATGTCAATTCCTAGAATCACTTGCCACAACATTTCATTATTCCTATTCTACATTTATTCATTTGAAAAATATGGATAGAACATCTACTTTGTGGCAGGCATTATTTTACCTGCCAGGGAGACAGACGCAGGGTCGTGACCAGGGTAAGGCGAGTGAGGCAGCTGGGTGAGGGCCTCCAAGCTAGGTATCACTCACCTCACCCAGTCCTGGCCCTGGACACAGTAAACAAAACAAACCATGTCTTTGTCCTCATGTCCTCCTTTCACGAGAGTAGACACACAACATCAAGTATTTAACATGTCAGGTAAGAGAAATAAGAATAAGAAGAAAAACAGGGTGAAAGGGTAGAGAATGAATGTGAGGAAGATGGGATGCTGCTTCAGTTAAGCTGGTGTGCAGAAGCGTTAACCTAGCAGGCCTGACTGCTGTCCTCAGAAAGGCCTGCTGAAAAGACTGGCCCTTGGCTGGCATCTAGGAACTTGGATTTCAGAAGGGCTCCCACCACCCTAGCTGGTAAGAGTGGCTCTCTAAGCCAAACCTGCTTGTGTACACAATGTGGTTTACGCTGAATACCTGCTTTCCTTCTTCGACCCTGGAATCTGGATACTTGCCAATCTCCAATATAAAACCCTGGCTGAGGCCGGGCGCGGTGGCTCACGCCTGTAATCCTAACTCTCTGGGAGGCCGAGGTGGGCGGATCGTTTGAGCTCAGGAGTTCGAAACCAACCTGAGCAAGAGCGAGACCCTGTCTCTACTATAAATAGAAAGAAATTAATTGGCCAACTAATATATATAGAAAAAAAAAAATTAGCCGGGCATGGTGGCACATGCCTGTAGTCCCAGCTACTTGGGAGGCTGGGGCAGCAGGATCGCTTGAGCCCAGGAGTTTGAGGTTGCTGTGAGCTAGGCTGACACCATGGCACTCACTTTAGCCTGGGCAACAAAGTGAGACTCTGTCTCAAAAAAATAAATAAATAAAAAATAAATAAATAAATAAATAAATAAAAATAAAACCCTGGCTGAGTCTTTAATGAGCCGCTCTGGTTGGCAACATTTGACAGGTGTCATAATTTCTTGCTGGGGAAATTAAGCACGTCCTGTTTAATTCTGCTGGGACATGACTCTTGGAAGCTTGTGCCTGGTTTTCTCTAGACTTTGCCCCAGTACTTTTTCCTTTTGCTGATTTTGCCTTGTATCCTTTCACAGGGATACATAGACAGTAATAAGTCATAATAAATCCCAGTAAATCATAGCCCTGAGTACGACTATACACTGACTCCCATGAGTCCTCCTGGAGAATAGTCAAACCCTGCCACAGATGGTCAGGAAAGGCCTCTCTGATGAGGTAACATTTGAGCAGAGGCCTCGGGAAATCAAGGAGCAAGCCCGGTGGGCAGCTTTGGAAGAGCTCCAGGTGCAAGTGAGGTATGTGAGGAGCAGCCAAGCTGCCAGTGGGGCTGGAGGGAGCGCACTTGCCGAAGTAGGAGATGAAATGAGAGAGGGAGCCATGGGAAAGATCACGCCAGCCTTAGAGGCAACGTAAGAACCTGAGACTTCATTCTGAGGGAGAGAAGAAGTCACTGGATAGCTTTGAGCACAGGAATGACTCAATGTTTCACATACATAACTCTGGCTGTAACGTGAAGAATAAAGAGTAGGGGCTGGGGGTCGGAGTAGGAGCAAGGAAAACACTGAGATGGCAACTGGGAGAGCAAACGAGATGGATGGAGGCTTAGATGAGAGCGGTTTGCAGTGGCAGTCTTGTCCTTTGAACAGAGTAGGAATATGAATATGGCAACTCTAATCTGGTATTTCCAACTAACTGTCAGAAATTCCCAGCTTGGAATGCTCCACAAACTCTGACCAAAACACTATTCCTTCTTCACAGAGGGTTCTTCCCCAGGACTTCTTCCTGGCCCTCTCTGTTAGGGCTGCTACCACGTTGCCAATCTTAGTTTGAACCCTCCACGTGGGTGGTGTCTTTCCCTTCCCCTCGCCCCTGCTTCCGAGCTGTTCGCCAGTTCCCGCCCGATCTCCAGGTCCCACGGCCTCCGCTTCTCACGCAGACTTCCAGTCGCCTCCCAGCAGTCTCCGCCTGTGTGGAAGCCTTCCTGGGAGGAAGCCCTTCCTTGGAGAGCAGGGTAGGTCTGCACGGGTGACACGGCAGCCACAGGTAACTATCGAGCACTTGAAATGTGATTAATCTAAGTGGATGCGTGCTGTTAGTATAAAACACACATCAGATTTCAAAGACTTTGTGTAAAAAAAAGAATGAAAATATCTCAATAACTTGTTATATTGATAATATTAAAAAATCACCATATTTTAGATATAAAATTAAATAAAATATGTTACTAAAATTAATGTTACCTTTTCTGTGTCTCCTAGAAAATTCAAAATTATATATATGGCTCACATTATATTTCTAGTGGACAGAACTGGCCTAGATCTTCACAAGTAAATGCTGTTGGAGAACAAAATTAACTTTCTCTTGTCATCAGATTGTCTCCCCAGATTGAAGCCTGTTGTACTGGCCAATGCAATCTGACTGTTGTAACAGAAGTTTAAACATAGAGACCAGGGCTACATTTGAAATGTAAACACATGACAAGCTCTTGGTGTTCAAAAATGGTCAGTGGGGAGCTCCGAGCTTGTCTCACTGACCACCTGTGATGGGCTGGGGCAGTGAAGGCCCTAAACTGGGGGCTCTCTGATCCCTGCCTAGCTGCTCCTGGCAACTGTCACACTAAATCCGGCCTCATGGGGCGAGGGATGGGGAGGGCTTCCCTGGGGCAGCCTGAGGCATCACAACCAGTACTGGGCATGTGCTGCTCCTATCCCACCTCCTGGAACCAGCTGATGGACGTTCAGTCCTTGCTCAGTCTCACAAGAAAGGCTCCAGCCTTCAGGGCCCACAGTTACTGGGAGAAAGCGCACCCCGCTTCTCCGCTGTCAGTGGGAGCAGTGCTCAGCCTACAAAGCTGAGAGAAAGCATACCTCCTAGGGCTGTGGTTGGGAAAGAGGAGGTCAATCTATCATTTTTTGCTGATGATATATGATCTTTATCTAGAAAACTCCACAGATTCCACCAAGAGTCTCCTCAGCAAAGTCTCAGGATACAAAATCAAGGGAATCAGTAGCATTCCTATACACCAACAAGAGTCAAGATGAGAATCAAATCAGAGACTCAGTACCATTCACAATAGCTACAAAGAAAATGAAATATCTAGGAATATACGTAACCAAAGAGGTGAAAGATCTCCACAAGGAGAACTATGAAACTCTAAGGAAAGAAATCACAGAGGATACAAACAAATGGAAAAACACATCATGCTCATGGATAGGTAGAATCAACATTGTTAAAATGTCTATACTACCCAAAGTGACTTACAAATTCAATGCAATCCCATTAAGTTACCAAAGTCTTACTTTACAGATCTAGAAAAAAATAATTCTAAGCTTCATTTGGAACCAGAAAGAGCCCAAATAGCCAAAGCAATCCTGAGTAAAAAGAACAAATCTAGAGGCATCACATTACCAGACTTCAAACTGTACTATAAGGCTATAGTAACCAAAACAGCATGGTATTTGGTACAAATATAAAGACACAGACCAATGGAACAGAAAGAGAACTCAGATATAAAATCACCTACCAAGCGATCTTTAATAAAGCAGACAACAATGTACACTGGGGAAAAGAAACCTTATTCCATGAATGGTGCTGGGAAAATTGGATAGTCACATGCAGAAGAATGAAATAGGATTCCTACCTCTCACCACTTACAAAAATTAATGTAAGATGGATAAAAGACTTAGATCTAAGGCATGAAATCATAAGAATTCTTGAGGAACGGATCCGAATCAAGATGGTAGATAAGAAACACCGCCAGACAGAGTGTCTCTGCAGAAAAGACAGATTCTAACAGAAATTAGAAGAAAGAAGCAAGCAGACGAGCCTACATCGGATGAGGGTCGGCAGGAGGGGTACCTGAGACCATGGGAGACTCCACGGGAGGAGATTGCAGAGAAGAACTGGAAGGTGAGACCTCTGTAGCAGCCTGGAGACCAGTGGCAAGGGGAGGTAGAGCGATTAACTTTCCCCTCCCTTGTAACTCGGACTGCTGGTGGGGACCCCAGAAGGTGGAGAGACCTGCGACACCAGCCCAGAGACGGCCACTGCCAGTGAGAGGTGAGCCTGTGGCGGACGCAGCACCAGGCTCCCAAGTCCCTCGGGGCACTGCCGTGTGCACAGACCGGAGCCGCACGGCAGGCGCCATATTGGCTCCTTCTCCCCTCCCCCAACCCTACCCGTGGCTGCTGAGAGACAATATAGCCACCAGCCGGAGGCACCTCCAGGAAACTGGACCCCCCTTTTGGGGCCCTATAGCTGACTAAGGGGAACTCAGACTGTGAGCTCCCTACCCGCCAGCCCTCCCAGGAGCTGCTGGCACGGTGATCCCAGGAGAACAGGGCAGACCCTGAGGCTGAGAGACATAGACCCAGCTTGGGCTCCCTGTGGGTGAACTGGGACTGGCACTCCTCTCCCTGGTGGGGATATAGTTTGAACTCTGGGGCCCAGAGGTCAGACCTGCAGACCAGATCCTGTGCACCCAGGTCTCGCATTGCCTGGGGCACAGAAGGGATATACAGGAACAGCCTACTGAGGTGTGTGTGCCTTCAGGGCCAGATCAGCGTCCTAGAGGGCAACCCTCCTCCCAAAGGGAGGCCGTGGGCCCAGGCCAGGTGGCGTTCCTATGCAGGGAACCTCCCATCGGCATCACAGCCAGGGGAGGCCTGGT